CTCCCACACGACAAACCTCCACCCAATAAGAACTGCAACAAACTAAATTACTGCGCAACCAACAAGCGATGACAGTCATATGTTCAAACGTACCAGAACCCACCAGCGAGTCGTTAAAAGGTCGACAAGCCGAAGAGCAAAATCGCTGGACTGAGATAAGCTGCGCACTAGGACTAAACGTTCTCCCAACTAGTCTTACACGTCTGTCACGAAACCCATCGTCTCCTCACGTAGGGGAACCTCGGTTACTGCGAGTAACATTTGGCAACACAAAGGACTTGGAGGATGTTCTCTTAGCAAGCCACAGTCTACCGAACTGTTCTCTCAGTGCCCGCATTTTTCCAGACATGCCATGGAAGGAAAGACAAAAACGAAGATCCAACCCAACCGCGTCTCGTCAAAATGTAATGAAGAAAGTGGTGTTGGTTCATGGTGTGCCCGAACTGAAACATGGCGACACCAGTGAAAGACAAAAACACGATATTGATGAGTGGCGCTACATCACAGAACTCTATGGCATGCAGAATGTTGTGGCATTCGACGTCAGCCGCTTAGCTTCCTCCCCAAACTATCAAGGGAGCGGGCCGAAAGTTTTGAAAGTTACCTTGGCTACGCCGGAGATGGCATCAATGGCAATTAACGTGTGGTACCACAACAGAAGGCTAGGACCACCAGAAGTACGACTGAGACCATTCCTGCAAGCAGTACAGACCACTGGTACAGTTGAGTCAGACCTGGCTTTTCCGACCATAGACCAGCCAAGCGTGCAAACACTCGTGTCAAAAAACGTGGGCAGACCGGCACTGTTTGTGCCGGTCAAACACAGCGAACCCACCTCCTAATGCGGCAACAAATCCAATGCTGCTACACAAACGCCCAAGGGCTTTACTCCAAGTTGCCGGAATTGCGCTATCGGCATGAAGCAGCAACTTGGGACATCATAGCATTAACTGAAACCTGGCTCTCAAACGAGATTTTGGATCCAGAAATTGAACTTAGTGAAATGTCAGTCATTCGAAATGATCGTCCATCTCGCGGTGGTGGCGTTGCTATCTACTACCGAGATCATCTGAAATGTGAAGCTTGTAGGACTAGTTAATACTAGTCCGAGACGATGCGCGGAATTAAGCGCGGATATCAGAAGGCAATTGGAGTCGGACACAGCGGACTGTATTCGATGGGCTACAACGAGAAGCGGACGGATGAAGCGAGGCAAGAGCGTACACGTGAGCGCGGGAACTTACAAGGCCGTTGTGTGTCGAGCCGGTTGTAAGATTAAAACAAGAAGGAGTAATGTACAATCGGTCAACAAGTAAATTGTACACGAAAGATAAGAGTTATCTTTTCGGGCGCTACAGAGCTCCCCCCCTAGAAGGCTGAACATAGAAAGCCTTCGAAATGGAAAAGGAATGTTGAAGCGAGGTTCGTAAGGCGAAATCGTGCCGAGTAAAAATGGGCGTGCGTTCGTGTAAATGGGAGTTCGTCGGAAGTCGGAGTCCGCTGTGCCGTTTATGATTTGTTATTTATTGAATGCAGGGCAGGGTGCATTTCGGCGAGCCGTTGGAGCGGGCTTGTCGGACTACAAAAAGCTGGCTAGCCCAGAAAAAGGCCGACAGGACCTCAACCTCCGCTGCTGCCAAACGGTGCGCTTGGGAGTGGTCTCTCCCCCCGCCGCACCCCGCCCCGCGCCAAAACGACCCTCGTCCCACGAAGATAACGACCATGGTCCCACGGAGAAGCGACCCTCGTCGCGCGGAGAAGCGATCCTCGTCCCGCGGAGAAGCGATCCTCGTCCCGTGAAGAAGCGATCCTCGTCCCGCGGAGAAGCGATCCTCGTCCCGCAAAGAAGCAATCCTCGTCCGGCGGAGAAGCGACCAGTGTTCGCGTCAGGGTCCTCAAAAACACTCCTCGTGTGGGCCAGTCGATCGAAGGGAGGGTTGGGGCATGTAAAGACGAGAAAATAGAAAAACACGCGCAGAAAACGCCAAAAAGAACAAACAAGTGGGCTGCGTGTTTAAATATTTTTTGGTTTTTGTAAAGGTTTTTCGGTGGTTTTTGATATTTTTGTTTGTTTTCAAAACGTTAATCGACCAAAAATGAGGCAAATATATACAATATCTACAGTTAAAAGTATTTACACTGTACATAGTCGGAGAAGCGAACGGGCTTACGTACCTCCCGACCACGGCGATTGGTCGTGGGAGGCGACGGACTAGGTTTGGGTGATGTCGGGACTG